GTTTCAGGATGTAATGTAAGAACGAAATTTCAGAGTGTAGATTAAGATATGTGGAGCACAGGTTGTAAGCTCTGTTTAGTAAGCATGTAACAAGGTTTCGTTTATACGTAAACGGGATAAAGCTATTAAAGTGTGTAAGGAGACCAGTGGACGTCTTTTTCCGGTAAATTGATGTGGAAAATCCATTAGCATTACGGTTAATGAGCATGTCTAAAAGTAAATTATTATTATATTCAACGTCACATGTAAATTTAATGGCACAGTATCATGATTGTATAGTCTTTGAAACAAAATGAGGAGTGCGTCAGTATTGATTGTTGGAGATAGAAAATAATTTTCTAGTTTGTTGGCAAATGAATATCGGTTTTGCCCTAAAAAGTAGCAAATCAGATGCGAGTATATCAAAAATAAAACAGATACTTGTTATTAATTCATTGCCTTACTATTTGTTACTTAAAATTTTGGTTCATTTATACTTTTTATGTGTGTGTGTGTGAATAATGAAAAACCCATAATGCATATTTGTCCTGGGCTGTCAGTCAGACCAGTGATAATGTTGACAATGCTAATCACTTCAAGATTTTCTCTTCTTCACTATATGGGCCCAAAGAATCCCCAAAAAGTGTTAGTCTCCAATAATTATTGCATTAATATAAGTCATTCCCCACCCTTAGAACCCCTGATTGTAACCCATAAAGATTTAATCTAATATTTCTGTCTTCAATTCTAACCGGGTGTAGTTCATAAAATGTCACTCCACCCCTCTACTAAAAATATCGCTATTAAACTTATAGCCTGGAATTCCAAAATAATTCCTGTTACCAGGTTTTTCTGGTTCTAATCAGGTTTCAGTAATTTCTGTTACATCATAATCCTCCATTTCAACTATAGCTTAGTAAGCACCCATTTTGTTCCTAATACTCCTAACATTAGAGTGTTAACAACTAAGCTTACATTTGAAGGCACTATGTTAACCCTTTCTATACGGGTCACAGGTGAAAGGCCATGTCATCGCGTTTGTTGACTCGCATTCAAAATTTTATTTCATGAATTTTATCAATAAGTTTGATATCAAACTATAGATTATAATTCAAATTTTAGAACTATACATTACTCAATTCGTTAATTTAAAAGTAAATATCAAAACACAGATAAACATTGATTTTTGTGTGTCATGTGGTACATTGAATGCAGCATTGGTTCAAATTAATACTAAGTCTATAGTTTCATAGGAATTAGAAATTCAAATTACAGATTTTGATAAGCTAGAATATAAAATAAAAAGTTCTTATCTTTTCCATTTGCTAAGATATTACTCACTTAATAAATCAAACATAAACACTTAATTCTATATATGACATGAATAACCAATCAGAAGCTGGTTTTCTAAGCCTTTCTAATGTATCTAACATGATTTCTTTCTTTTAAATCGAGATTTCAATGAGGTAGGTTGTATCTTTGTAACTTCTGTATTGTTAGCTAGGCACAGGTGAAAGATCAATAAAAAAAAAAAATGTATAATGTTATGAGATTTAAGCTATTTCATCTGAACATTTTGTTATTGTGTTATAATTTGTGTTCTTTCTAGAGTGAAAGATGCATTATTTATGTTTATTTCCAAGTTTTTTATGCTTGTTGTGAGATTGGTCAAATTTACCAAACCTGTACTGGAATTAATTA